AAGCACATTTTAAGCACCTTCAAGTAGATTTTAAGCATGTTTTAAATATATTTTAAGCACCTAAACTTTTTGTAGGGTTGCCTGACTTTAAACCAATTGTTGGCCACCAAAACTGATTGTTGAACAATGTAAACAATATATTCTGAATTTTTACCTTCTATTCTACACACTGCCAAAGTAATTCGATAAAAAGTGAAGTAATTCAGAAGTTAGGTAAGAAGTAATTTTGACCTTTCAAAGAAATTAATTATTTATTCTATTGCAATTTTTATTTTTTATTTTATTTTTTGTTCATGTTAATAATATAAGTACAATACATTATGAAAAAGTTACAAGATTAACTCACAACCTACTTAACTCTCTATTTATTGATCGAAATAGAAGAATAATGCAACATTACCACTGAAGAACTCTACATAAAGCAAAATTATTTATTCTATTATTCTATTGTTATTAAAAATTTTTTTTGTCAACTACCAGAGAAATTACAGTAAAGCAACATTAGAAGGAGTCCACAAGCATTAAAGATATTAAAGAAATGATAATTGCAGTCTGCTGGATCAAAAGATGGTATGGATATTAATTATTACTTTCATCATAGTGATGCATTACTAGACAACAGCGAGTGTATTAATGAACAGATGTAATGTTAACAATATATTTTTTGAGATATTTTTGTTAGGTGAAAAAATTTGTTTGATAATGTAAAACTCATATAATGAATTGGGTAAATATGGTATGAGTGAAGCACTTTCAAATATGTTATTTAACAGAGCATACTTTTGAATTTTCATGTAGATGTTGTTGTTTTGATATATAAATTTCAAACTATAATGGAGACATATCTTTTGTTATTATTATAATTATTATAATGACATTAAAAGTTAAATGGACATGAATCTCAATGGGTTCATTTTATTTTATTTAATACTATCTCTTAAACGGTCAGAGTATATTTTAATGGTAACACAAATTAAGGTTTTGATCATTCTTATTGGTCAGTTTAACGATCAGCAAAGTAAAAACAGTCAATCGACCAACTTTTAAAGAATATTTTACAAAAACCATAAGGACAATAACTGGATTTTCATTTATAGATTAATCGGCTGAATCTCAAAGATCATTTTCGTATTAGAAAGTGATGCCCTCAGAAAAAATTTTTTATATCAGAAAAATTTTATCGGCTATCAATAGCCGATTAACCGTTTAGGGGATAAAATAGTGATCGCCATTAAATAAAATTATCCAATCAATTTCACGCAAATCAGTCTTGCAGATTCCTGTTTTTATTTAAACAAAAAAAAAATGATGTAAAAAAACAATATATTTTTAAAACAAACGATATCTATTTATTTGAAAAAGTACATATAAAGAAATGATATTTCACATAAAAAAATGATTTTATTTTTAATAGTGATTTTCAACTCGATCGATTAATTTGTGGCGGGTCACCAGAAATTTTATTGTTATGATAAATATTGATCGACAAAAAATAAACTACACGATTGTTTATTTTTTTTTTTAAAAAAGCACAATTTCATTCGATATGGAGTATTTGTCAAGAGAAGATCGTCTAAAACTGAAATATCCAGGTGAGTCTGTCATGTCTGTTTTTATTTTTATCAATTAGAACAAATAAAGAATACAAACTTTGGTCAATAGATTATTGGGATCGAGATCCTAGCGTCTGGGGAGACATAAACGATTGGGATTCTTACTGGGTTATGCAACCACAACTCGTGGCAGTTAATAGATGCAACTCCCACTCATCTTTATCAGAAGAGTTGATTAACCTAAAGAATATATTCGATACCATGAGTCCAGCTTATAAGAAAGTCTGTGACCTACAGAAAGGATTAAAGGAAAGTAACTATATACTGATTGATAGTGCCAGCGTACTCAATAGTTAATCCGGCAACCGCTGGTTGAGATGGTTTTTAACGCTGCGTAAAAACCGACGGGTAGCACCGCTGGTGCGCGGCTATTGAAACGTAACTGACGTACTTCATATCTAATCCGGCAACCGCTGGTTGAGATGGTTTTTAACGCTGCGTAAAAACCGACGGGTAGCACCGCTGGTGCGTGGACATGAAAACGTTTGGTTAGGACGAGCGTTCATGGCACTTTGTAAACTTTCTATCTATTACTCTAAGAATGCACGATTGACCTGATTACCTTTCTTTTATATATAGAAAGATGACATTCAGAATGTCAAGATTTGGGAGAATGCAGATCAACTTGTTTCATTAAAGATAGATTCTAATATAATTGACTTGAAATTGGAAATTGATAAGGCAAGTATTCATTAATCTTTAATGCATCTAATAGCTTTGTATTTAAATTTTATTACAACAGAAGGAGAGAAGACGAGCTGTACACCAAATAACAAAAGAGGGATTTAAAGTAGCGCAACGAGGATTGCAGGAATATTCTGATGCAGAATTTAATATTATGCGAAATGGTATGTTTAGCTCAAGTTATTTACCACTACAAATAACAGAAAATAACAAAATTCAAGCCACTTCTGTATCGTGGGTGCCAGAAAGTCAAAACTATCATGAAGTGCAAAAAAGATCCAACTGTAATGAACTATTAGATGATAACAACGATATTATAACCAACGGTATGGATAATTGTTTGCAAAAGGCAGTGGAGTCTATGGTTGGAAAAGTGGAAAGTGACAGATTGAAAGTAGATGATGTTGATTTGGAAGAAGCTTTTGAAAAATACCGTGATGAATGTGAAAATGAATTTGAGTAAGTAAAATCACACCCAAAATTATATGAATTTGTTTTACTCATTGTTTTTGTTATTAGTTTATGCAATAGCGACATTATGGATTTGAGACCCACTTCACGATTGGCAAAGATTATTCCTGAAGCGACGTGGGAGAAATTTATCTTGGATACATATCCTAATCATAAAATATCAGAAAAATGGGAAAATTCAATACGAGATTTCTTCAAGGTACGTGTATATTATAAGAAATATCGAACTATTTTCCGAATTAACCAATCTTTTTTGTTTATCAATTAGCCAAAAGATACTCTAACCGAGTGGGAGAAAGCCTGGCGTGGAATTTTCAACACAAGAAAAAATATTGAAGATCTGGTGATAAAAGATATATTACATAATATACTCTCCCCATAGTACGTTTGGACTTTTATGATGTTTTTGTGTTTTTATACTTAGTGATATAATATCTTGATTGTATTTTTTTTTTCTTTTAGTATCGAAGCTTTTAAAGCACCGTTTAACATACTGAAATCTGGTGACTTGGAGGAAAAACAATATAACTCACAATTTATAAATCCCATTTTAAAAAATACACTCAAGGCTATTTGTGACTTGGATTGGAGAATGTAAGTGAATTCGATTTATCCACCCCATGAAAGTATTCATTTGTAATGGTTGACATTGTTATTATCTGTTAATAGCCTCGAGGTTCCAATCAGAAGTAGCAAATATAGACGTAACTTTAATATCAACCCATTTATTGATAAAATTTTGAGCGCAAAGCGTGCGGATGGCTTGGCTCGCCTGTGGCAAAGCCAGGAAGAAATATTTGTGTATGAACAGACAGGATCGCCGGATGTTGATGATATTACTGATTTTTACGTCCACGATTATAGGTTGGTTCGAACTATGCGCGATGTGCTGAATCAACGAATAATTCTTCGGCTAAACAATGGTATAAAAGATTACAATAACTTGGCGAGTTTTGGGGCTTTTGGTCATCGTGATGAAGTGTCTCTGTTTTGGTGCACGATACACCCAAAATCGTATTGTTTACGTGAATACGCAAGTTTTCATATACCCACAACATGGCAAGATCTTCCCGTCTTATCTGAAGCAATAATTTCATGTCTGAAATTTTTTGTGAGTGTCATTTAAGATTGATTCTGCTTCACTTATTCATTGTCTTTTGCTAATAATTATTTATGTTCAGTCCTTCATGAAAGACAACATCAAAAAAATCGAATCACGTACCGAACAAAAAATGAAATTACTTTCCAAGCGAAAGGTTCATACGGTAATACCAAATCCACCAACTCCTGATAGAACAAAAAAGCAAAATAATCAATCAAAAAAACAAAAGAAATGATTGACATTTATAATTCTCTATTAGCAAAATAAATCTATTGACATTTACGTTAATAAAGATTTTGTTAGACACACATTGTATCAATGATTATTATAATTATTTTTTTCATATTTGACAATTCGATTGCGTAATGTTGTTTGAATACATACATATCTTTATTCGATTTTAGTAAACGTAATAGTAATATTTTTTTAGAATTTTTGATGACAGGCTGTTACGCAGTTAAATAAATAATAAATATGCAATGAGGTTTATTAAAACAGTGAACTTCTAAACTTGAAGCTGAAAAGGTTGGGCTTGAAGCGAAGAATATTGAACTGCTAAAACGAGCCATGAAAGGGGATATACCAAACGTGAAGCTGAGAATGTTGAACTAAAGGCCAGAATCGAGGAGTCAGAAAAAAATAAAATAGATACTACTTACCCAAGGCCGAAAATGATGAGCTGATGGCCAGAGTTGCGAAATTATAATGTATGCTACACATGAATTAGGATATTGTATTCTATATGATACATTATCCAAAATTTCTTCCAATATCTGTACAAGTCTAATCATTAGAAGATATAGAAACTGGTAATTTCCTGGATACGCAGAATAAGAAAAAGGTTAGCAATGTGATGAGAAAGAGGAACGGAGAAAAGAAACTTCAAACTCAAGAGACATGCCTCTTTGAAAATTTCAACTCTTTTTGAAGTATCAGTTCTACTAATTTCTAATGGAGATAATCATAGTTGGAAGGGCCAACACTGAAATTTATAATAAATTACGGAAATACATGTGAAAAAATAAACACGATTGTTTATGATAAATCAACCAGCTTTATTGATGCGATAAAAAAAAATTTCGACCAGATAAGAGTTCTGACATCCACGGACATGGTCAAAAAATTACACAGACATGTAAAATGTACAACAATACTCACTGATGTAATAAAACATATCTATATGTTTTGAATCTAATTTCTTTTTACAGAGAGAAAAATCACTTAAAAAAAAAAACTTTTTGTCCGTTTACTTGTCATATTAAAAACCTGTTCATTGGGAACTGAAATGATTGGAATAGATAAATATTTACATGCTCAATACTGGAAATTTTGTTCCATCGTTTAAAAAGGGTTCTCTACTCCTGTAATACTTTCAACAATTATTAACTTTTTTTTATGTCATTACGTCATTATGATTCAAATTAAAATTCTTTGACATCTCTAAAATCAAAAAAATTATTTATTTCGTTATTATTTTGTACGTTAAATTTAAAATTTGACGTACAACATTATTATTATTATCAGTCTATTTTTTTATTTTATTTATTATATTATCAGAATAATTTCTTCTTTTTAAGAAATCAATAAAATCATTAACATGTCTATCATAGTCGCTTTCTTTATCACAATTTCTGATAAGACGTATATTTTCCCCATGTATCCAATTGTAAATGTATTTACTAGGATAGAATGTAGAGGGGTCTGTATATATATGTTTATTCATGGGTTTGTTATAATTTTCGATGATTAACATCTTTTGATTATTAATTATTTCCCATGATAAACTTAAATCTAAGAAGCTAACTTTGTCTCCTACTGTGTTAATACAGCCGGTGTCAATTAGTTCTAGTTTGTTATCTTCGTTAAAAGATTTTTCATAAATTTCCATCCAGCTATAGAAACTTTTCTTATATTTTTCCCAGAATTCTATTGGGGTATGTATCTAGAAATGAATTATCAACAAATGCAACGATATCATCCAGATATCTGTATATTTTTATTTTTGTTATCATTTCTGTTGTAAATACATTACATTCTGCCATTGCTAATGTTAGATTAGCTAGGATTGGTGATACAGGATTCCCCATAGGTAAACCTTTTCTTTGAATGTATGCATCACCCTTATATTCAATAAAACTGGTATTAAATATCCATTGTAATGTTTTTCTATATACATTCCATTTTGGATGTGTAGGGTCATTACTAAGAATGTTTTGTGCATAATTTAATGCATGAAGTGCTAAGTTTCTAGTAATGGATGGATACATATCTTTTACGTCTGCTGTAAATATTACTACATCAGTGTCCACAAATTGTAGTGGGGGTAATTTATTTTGAAAGTCTAATGAACTTTCTATTACCCAATCTACTTTAGATAGTAATGGTTGTAATTCTTTTGCGAGCCATTTACTAGCTCTTTCGTTTATCCATCCTATATTAGGGGTGATATATCTGCTTTTTACTAGCTTAATATCAATAGGAAAAGATGGACATTTATGTACTTTTGGCAAGATATATACTTTGGGAATTTTATCCTTATTATCGATATTTAGATTCCATTTAAGTATATATTGTCCGTCGTATCTTTCATCAATCCATTTGTATTGATCAATTACTCTATACCAATCTATCGTTTTTTTCTCAAACGCGTTTGTATTCAGTATATATTTGTTTAACTCAGATATATACCATTCTTTTGGTATTATGGTAAGGCCGAGATTTTTATCGGCTGGGCTTACAACCAAGTTATTATTCAACAAAAATTCTACGCATTTGTTAATATTTTTATTAATTGTGCGATAATTATATAGTTTTTTATTATGTTTAGAAATTGTAGTATCTATTATTAAAAAATAAATTATCTAAAATTTTTATTTTTTCTTTGCCTGTTCCTTCTTTTTTTGCGAAGTCGACAATTTTTGTTTAACCTGTGATAATTCGTTAACAACAGAGTTAAATTTAGCGGTTTTTTTCAATATTTGAAAATTGCTACCACGATTTAATATGTTAATGATATCTTTTGGGATATCTATATTAGACATATTATTAACAAATACCTCATCTTTTGTGTCTTCCCTTTGTCTCTCCCCTTTGTTTGAGACTTTTGTTTTTGGGCGACGACGATTTTTTTTTGATTTTTTGTTGTTTTTGTTGTTGTTTTCTTGATTTTTTTCGACGGATGACTTATGTTGATCATTGTCATATCCGTGTCTTTCTCTGCTTTCTTCCTCTTCTTTCTCTTGGCCGTATGGATTGCTAAGCTTTCCGTTGTGGCCTGTGGAATTTGAGGCGTTAGTAACAGACTTTTTATCAAATGATAAAACAACATTATTATTTACCCAAGCTACTGATTGACCAATTTTCGTATAGCCGTTCTTCATAGCTTCCTCAAAACCTTTCATGATTTCATTTTTGGCCTCGTCGGGTATATCTGGCGAAAGTTTAATTTTATTGTGGAGTGCATCCACATCATTTTTAAACTCCGCATTTAGTCTCTCTAACTTGATTAGATCTTGTAGACCAGCAAGTTCGTTATTAAGAGAGGACATGATGAACGTTTTGATTGAATCGTGTGCGTTCTTATTTATATTCTGAACAACGTCAGAAGAAATTTGGTTTAAATTATGAAAATTGATTGAATGGTAGAACCCAATGTCTCTACCTTCAGTTTTGGCTTACATTTAAAAAATATATATGAATTGATTTATGAACTGCTAATTCAGATATCTTTTCTGTGAATTAGAAGAATATTT